TGCAAAAGCTAGGTGCTTCTACCCACCTCTGCCTGGTATCAGAGAGACACAACGCTGCACCTCTACAAGCCACAAGTGATGAAAACACAAGCAGTACTGCTGCAGCGCTTCAGAATACCAAAGCTGAGAGACCACAGGGTCTGGTTTTAAATTAACCTCAGTTTAAGACCTTTTTGTTAAACAATGAGGAACAACATGCATGAAAGAGATGCAACATAATGTCAGAGCCTGTGATCCATCAGGTGGCGCCAGGATACCTCTGTCAGAGCTAAAGTGATGACCAAACTGTCTTTATGTTTAACTAGTGACTGACTAACACATCCCCCAGGCCAAAACTTCCCTCTGCTGCTCAGCACCAGAAGAGGCCCTGAACCTTCTCCCAGCATGGCCCAAAGCAGAGCTCTGGAGTTCCCTCAACTGAGTTTCTCTGGCAGCACTGCAGGCTGCAGATTCATCCCATAGGAGCAGCGGGTCTGACTGGAAAGACCCCCACCATAGAGTGGCAAAGGCCTGAATTGTGACCAGACCTTGACAAGCTCCAACTCCCCCACTAGCTGAAAGCATCTCTAGGGAAGCTTTGCTTTTTCAAGTTGGGAGATGACCCTCAGGGTGGGGGGTAAAGACTTGCCATTAGAGGATTGCTGCAGATTTCAGTTGCAACTGAAGAAATATCTGCACATCTAGCCTATTGCCATTGTTTATCTGGGTGTTCCAGAACAATTCCAATCAGAGGTTTAGGCTCAGTGAAATGATTGGCAAAGAAATATTTTACTCGGGCTTAAAAACTGTTAAGCATAGCATCACATTTACAGCCTCTTTTTGCAAAGACCAAAATAGGTCACACTTGGTGCAAGCATGTAAGGTAATCCTTACAGTGAGGAGTCCAGCAGCACAAGGCTTCAAAGCAATGATACCATTCAATTCCTATGTGATAAGCTACCATCACAAGTTTCTCAGCCACATCAGTACAATCCCTGTACAACTATCCTGGTCTTAGTCACGCTTCCCACCTAACACAGGAAGAAATGGGCTTTATTCAGAGGTGGTGTCCACATAAATTCAAAAGTTGTCATCTCAGGAGAGTGTTTCAGTAACCTGGTAAGGTTAATTTGAGAGGTTTTTATCTGTTTGAGGTTCTTCACTTTCCTGCAAGTTGCTTTCTTGATCCCTTTGATGTTCTGAGGCTTTTCTATAGAGGCTGTTTATAGGAATGCACCTGTACTGAAGTCAAGGGACCTTTTCAGCATTTCAGATCAACCTCAAGCACTTGGTTTGAAGTAGGAAGCTAGGAGTTTATCACCGTAAGTGGCATGATTATACTCAAATGAAGTAAGTTTTATTTCCAATGCCATTCATTCACTCTAACTTTTGTGTAAAGACACTTGGCTATGGCAGGCAGCCAGAACAAAGACAACCATATCAACTCACCTAGACTAACATTACACATCAGTAGGAACCAAATATCTAGTCACTGTTAGGCTCAGACATCACAGCCTCTCTGCACACCCAGGAGGATGAATTCCCACTCTCTGTGAAACAATCTAGAATGCCTTTTCCTCTTGGGAGCCAGCTGCAGCATCCCCACTTTCCACAGCATCGAAGATCCTGAGACCAGGATCGATCATAGAATACCAGGTTGGAGTGGACCTCAAGGATCATCTGGTCTAAACTTGCTTGGCAAAAGCACAGTCTAGACTAGATGGCCTAGCACCCTTTCCAGCTGACAGGGCACACTTATGGCTCGTATTCAACTTGCCAGATCCACCAGTTACATTCTAAATGCTAACCATATACTGACAGCAACGGCAGATAACCTACATGCACAGAGAAAACAAGCTATACCTGATTGAACTTACAGCTCCATTACTATCCTTTTCAGACACTAGGTTCAAAGGTGACCAATTCTTTTCAAGGCAGAGACCCGTTCTGCACTGGAATAAACAAGCAGATTTACTCAGTTGCTCTTTCCAAGATAAACAAAGGCATGTTTTCACAAAGAGACATTTTTTTTCAGCAGCATAAACCAGAGCTCTCTCTCTCAGAGACTATCTTACTGAAATAAAAGGTGGCTGACCAGGACTGATTAGGAGAGATGACAACAAAATTAAGTTCATAAAGTTAAGTGTGCATGCAACCCATGTGTACAGTGTAATGACTGTTAAAAAGTCATTATTATGTTGATGAACATACAAATATACACACACTTTTATACACACACACACACACACACACACACACACATATATGAGGAGAGTGAGCACCACTTAAGGGAAAAGTCAAGTTCCACCTTGATGCCCCTTGCCCGACTCATAAACTACCCCAAGGTGGCACTGTCGGGCAGCTTTTCCTCTATCAGCTCTGGCAATGAGTCTAAACTGTGACTCGGAAGTAAATGCAGCGATCAGTGTAAACATTTTCTGAAATTTCCTTTCTTTTCTTGCTGTTTTTCCTTTTTTCTTCTGTCTGACTGGCTCTTCCTGAGCACTTCTCAGCAGCACTTGCCACATCTCCATGTTAAGTCACTCAGTGAGTCAAACTGGGACCTTGATGCCCTGGGATCTGTTAGGAGACAGGCAGCAGCAAGGTTGACAGCAATTCTCATACCTCAGATTGAAGTGCCAAGATGAAGGGATACAGGCTGGAGAGTCTGCACTGGCAAGTGCACTCTGCCAGTACAGTTGGGCTGTGATGGAGCAATCTGTGCTATAGCCTGCAGAAACCTCAAGAGAAAAGAAGCTAAGCAGACACCAGAGCCACAGGCATGCTGACTGCCACTGTCCAGGTGAGACTATACCAGTATGAGAAACGGTGCCCAGCTGATACTCAAATAGCCTTGTCCCTGAGACAGCAGCATTCATTTGGCCATACTGCGAGAGGCCAACTTCCAGCCCTTTGAGAGAGGTCTTATCAATGCACAACTGGATACACACCAGTCTGAAAACAGCAAAAAAAGTGGCAACTTGGGAAAACATAAGTTAAAATGGGAAAGACCCATGAGTGCAAATACAACGTGCATTAATGGAACAGGGCACATCTGAGATCTGGAAAGTGTTACTTCTAGGCCAGTCTGTGATCCTCATTCAACTCTGACCCATCACAGCTATAGGCTTGAGTGTGTAGGGCTTCCTTTCCAGGAACACCAGTTTCTACACTGAGGAGAGATGGATGAGGAAAAATAAAAAGAAATGGAAAAAAAAATGCGGTTTCCACACAAGTCAGCTTTTCATCAGTCCAAGCCATTCGACAGAGATGGGTCTATCAGAAAGTTGTGGCACTGAGGGTGCCTAAACCCTGCAGATGGAGCAGCTCCTACCTCTTTGTACAGGGCCATCTGTGTGAAGGTATAGGAATGACTGTGCAAGGCACAAGTGTACAGTGCACTGGTATCCCTCTGCACAAGGCTGTAGTGATGGTTTTTGATGTCCATCAGTTCAGATGGAAGATGGTGAAGGTCCAGTCAACAGTGCTCACTTCATACTCATATCATAAAATTGCACAGAAAGTAATTTTCACTAGGTGTTTCATCACCAAGTGCAATGCAAAGGCTGAGAAAAAAACGTTTTTCAATGGAAAAAATAAATCCAGATAAACCATTTATCAGAGTATTATGTTATATGGTGTAGATAGGCGAGCATAATGTGATTCTCTCTGATCTGATCACTGCCTGTGCCAGCATAAATAGTGTGCGTTTGCCACATACTGCTCAGGTCGCAGGTTTGTATCCACACTGCTGCTAAGTGTTAGTTCCTTTTACTGGATGATTGTGAGATTAGCTGATGGTTTTGTTCAAAACCTTAGTTTTGTGCACACCTACCATTTCCTTGGTCGTGCCACACTCAGTGAGCATGGACTCTTCATTAAACAAAAGCTTTTCTCTGTTCTAGGAAATCAACACAGCAGCCTTGCATTTCTTCCTTCCCAGCTGGCTCCTCAAAAGTTACAGTCTGTAGACATCCCCTAGAAACACCTATAAGAATCACATGCATCTTGGTGGATGGCAATGCCTGTGGCTGAGCACCATAAAGTCTGGCACAGGTGGGGTGTGATGGTGAATTCTGTGGAGAGGGCTGCAAAGTACATTTGTGCAGGAAGCTCTGTGTCTATTCTTACACAGTCTCACTAGAGCTGGGCTCACGGCTTGGCTGGCTGCTCCTTCCTACAAATACCCAGGAAAAGTTATAGTCCATTGGTACAGCCATGACCAGAATTGCATTTGGCCAGATGCAAGCTGCTCTGTCCCTGCCTTGAAGGACGGATGGACTGGCCATCAAACACATGTCCTCACTGGCACCTGACTGACTCTGGCCATATCTAACCAGTCTTTTTGGCTTTGGAAGACCCAACTGAACTATGGTGAATTAGATCATTTCAGCTCAGCTCAGACTGTGGGTATCTGAAGCTATGAAAGAGATGCCACCCTGCATGCCTGGTGTCCTGCTGGTGAATTTCTGAATCAGATATAGCTGAAGATACTCCATACTTTAAAATATTGCTCCCACAGTTCTGCTCCCTCAACCATACCAGTGTGAGACTGGGTGCTCACCAGTTCCTTTCCTCTCAACATTTAACCCTGAGAAACCTTTGTAAGGTTTCTCAAATGCAGTCAGAAACAAATCTACATTCATAGCTGGGCAGCTCCAAGAGCAAATGCACTTTTTCCCTCTGTCCTGAGCTGCCTTTAATGGTGTCTGCCTCATCTTGGAGGTGCTGAATGTGGCTGTTCCTCATAAAATACAGCAGTTGCCAAGTTTCCTGATTTCCAGTTTTGCAGTGTCCTGAACTTTCTGCAAACAAGTGGCTGCATAAGAAAAACACAACCCCCTCACCATATAAGGTTCCCAACTGCACAATAGGCCACAGTAAGCCAGGCTTTGGTTGCTTACGAGGATGAGGAAAAGAATATTGAGCACCCCATAGAGCGGAAGTGTGAAGCACAAGGCCTCCAGAAAACACTGCTTATATTCCAACCCAATCACAAGCAACAATTTCCAAGTCACTAATGAAGATTGAACTTGTTCTTTAATTTACCTGTTCTTTAGGCAGAAAGAGCATCAAGGTACAATTTCAGTTAGGTGATGGCATCACAAGCTCTTTGTGTAGTTCTCCTTTCCAGAAGCGTGCTGCTGCTTAGCTGGACTTAGATGAAGGAGAAATTAGTGTCCTTTTAAGAAGCCCTTTTTGGAGTTACAAGCTGTTATAGCCTGCTCGGAACAAGATAACTTGTTAGCTTAACTCACTTTGGCATTCCAGGTTTTGAAATCTTTAAACACACACAGAAGTATCAGAAACCATTCACAGCACAACACAGAAGATAACTTGGGCTTAGGCCTGGGCTGATAAGACTTCTATTTCCCCACTGCATCAAGCCCTTTTTGCAAGGACAAAGACATTCAGTTTTTCACTCACTCTACTGGGCAATGTCTTTTTCCTGACTCTTTTTGCTCTGGTTGATAAAGTCCTGTTATCAGAGATGATATTTTATAGCTGTCTGCAAGAACAAGTCAGACATGCCTTCAGAATGGCACAGAAACACACTGGACCCCACCTTTGAAATGAGATTAATTTGCATTTGAGTATCTTAATTCTAGATCGAAGATGTGACTTATTCCTTTCTGGCCATTAAGTATTCCATTCTAGCAAACACATATTCTAGACATTTGTGAAAGCTGAACTGCAATGCTGCTTTAATATATTTTCCACTAAAAAGAGAACAGCAGAATTCATGATTCTGTAATGCAAATGAATGTGGTTTTGCATTGTATGAACATTTCCTCCAAAAGAGATTTTGATTCCTTGAGAATGACAAATGCTGGCTGCTGTTGCCTGACCTAGCATGAGCAGCAGTTATTGCACCTAGAGGGTAAAAAATGGAGAAAGCTCACCAAGCTCTAAAGCACACCCTCCCTCCCCTCCCCACCCCCCACCACAACAAGCAAACAAACAAGAACCACGGCACATTTTAGTGTTAATTAAATAAGAAAAGAATTAAACTAAACCAAACAAAGCCCTCCTCCCCATTGAAAACCTCAGAGCCACGCAGGTGCCTGGGTCTCTGGAATTCAGTGTTTAGAGAGCAGCAGTGCTGGGTGATAGACACTGCCAGCACAAAGGACTTCGCTCTAGATAAAAGTTGTCCTAGTTAAACCAGAAAATCCAACCTGCAAAAGGCCCTCTTCAGCTGCAAAAGGACATTCAAAATCATTCATTCAGAGGTCACACGTAATTGTAGTGTATTTATTTTATCCTAATATTTAGTTGCACTCTTAGATTTCTTTTCGTGACCCCAGATTCATTTCAGTCCATTACTGAGACTTGTAACAAGCCCACAGCTCTGAGAAGACAGAAGCTGAAAAGCTCTTGAAACCTCACAGTTCCATAACACATTTCCCAAATGATATGAATCAGGCTGCCTTCGTTTCTTCTCCTACATGAACTGCTTCCAAAGTTTACCCAAACTTTTTCAGGGTTCTGCTTTTTTTTTTTTTACTTCTTCAGATCTCAGAGACAGGAAATATAAAATGCATTAAGAGATTAGTGTGTATTTTTTTCTCCAAGCCCTGGAATACAAATGCTGGTGCTGCTTTTCTGCTTTTTCTGCAAGGAATGTAACCTGCCCCTTCCCATGGCAGAGGGTTGGAACTAGAGGATCTTAAGGTCCTTTCCAACCCAAACCAGTCCATGATTCTAGTGATTTCCCCAGAAAGACTGAAGTGCCTCCAAAGCCAGGTGGTAACTTCTAAAATGTCACTTAGAGCTTCCCTCACCCTGTAGTTACAGCCACAGAAAAGGGTTGCAGTGGGTAAGGTAAAAGAGCAGCCCACAAGTTAGAAGAGCTTGTCTCAGCCCTAAACAAGCAAGTTTCACACTTCAACATGAAAGGTTCCAGAGAGACTATTTGCATTCATTTGTATGAAGTGCCCATGTGATACACACAGATGAGCTACTTGGGGTTTGATTCTCCTGCCAGTTGTGTTGCTTGGAGATGAAATTCTTATGTATGAGAATATCACATTGTCATCAAACCGCACTTAACTTTTTTCCCAGTAAAAGATGTCACTTTATGTAACCAGGAACATCATTTAATGCCAGTCCCAGCCAAGCCACAGCTGGCCAGGACCTGAGGAGACCAGCAGCTTTGGGTGCTTTGCTGTGTCCCACCCTTGCCTGCTCTCTCCTGAATACAGCAGTGGATGAATGCCCTCATATTCCTGCTGTTTACTCTTTGCAAGCACCATTACCTTTGTGAAAGGTGTACATTGCATGACACCTCCCAGGGCAGAGGAAGACCTTCAGACTCCAGTCAGGAAAGTGCTGTTGATGGAAAAACCTTGAAAATGTGTCTTGGCTACTGCATGACTCGCATACAAGGCACTAGTTTAGTGTTCTGTATACCTCACTCCTCTCACCAATAAACATTTGTTTGCTTGTAGTTATGAATCAAACACCTCAACTGGCTAAAACTGGCACATGCCCTTTAAATAGTTCAACAGCTGCATGCATATAAGTAGCTGTATCTTTCAAAAGCATCTGAGTGCTGAACTACTGATCTCCAATATGCAAACTGAGCAGAAAGTGGGGGGAAACCCTATTTCTATGACAGCCTCTCCTACCACTTGCCACATCCTCATCTCTCCTCCAGCTCAAGGAATAACTGGGCATTTGGAGGTAGCCACCACATCACCATAGAAACTCTCAGCTCCTTCACACAAGGTAATGTCCAGTCCAAAGCCAACTGGCTTCAGAGACAAATCACTGCTTGCCCTATACTGACTACTGACTGGAAACAGCTGAGGATTCAGGTCTTTGCACTCTTTCACCTTGAGTTGTCTATATAAAGAAACACAAAATGTGTTTTGAAATAGGAAGGAAAAACAAAAAAAAAACCCAACAAAAAAAGATAAGGAGGATGTGGTTATGCCATTTACTAAGAGCACTGGTAGGGTATGGTCTACAAGCAAATCCTGTCGTGCTCTATAGAACAACTGGGACCAAAGCAACGCTGCTGATCTGCTTGCTGGGTTCAGGTAAAGTAATTCCTATTTTAACTAATAACTTTTTTCCCCAAATAATAGCAGCATTGATTGCAAAGCAGTATTTTTAAGCTAGTTTGATAAAGATCAAAAATGTAGTGTTGCTTAGCACAGAGCAGGAAAAAAAAAGAGGTCTGCTCTAGTGATAAGCATAGATATATTCTGTTGTAATCAAAATACTTAGAATAAAATTATAAGAAATTATCCACCCACAGAAGAAATATATGGCAGATACAGCAGGGCTTACTGCTCTGCATTGCACTAAGCCATTTTACTCTTCTCCTGTGCGTTCACAAATGAATAATTTATCTATAACATGAATAGTCTTCTAGCAAATTAATATCAACAAAGTCTGCTTTGCAGCAGTAACATTATTTGTTTTGTGTTGATTAGGAGGGTGATCATGGTAAATGCTGTAAAATTCCTTGCTGAAGTAGTGATTTGAATATTCCTCATTCCTCTTTTGCAGTATAGCTAGATTAAAAATCATTGGCTTGCTGTGTTCTGTCATCTGATTATCATTTCCTTACTATTAAAGCTACAACGACACTTACAGCCAGTTATAGATTTTATGCAGAGAATGTTCCTGCTAATGAAGTATTCATGGATAAGAATATCCTTAATCTGTCGTCACTAATCTGTGCTAAGATGCAGACTTGTGCGAATCCCAGCTAGTGCCAGATGAACTCAGATCCGAGCTACAAGGAGGAAACCATTCACAGCATGCTGTGCTGCAAAAAACCCTAGCAAAGCAAATTCTGTAAAACCTTGCTGTGCCATTTCCTATGTCAGTACACATTTGCTGCTAGCTTAACCACTAACTCCTGCTATTGGTAAACCCAGTTAGCTTTTGACTAGTCCGTAGGAAGTGGAAAATCCTCACTCAACAGGAAAAATCAAGAACAAATGGACCAGTGATGACACAGGGTCTGGACCAGAGAAGAAAAACTCCTTGAATTAATTACAAGCTCTTACATTTGGCTTCTAGTTGTCTGAAACAATCCTAGAGCTGCAGGCAATTCCTTCAAGAAACCCCTGCAAGATGGAGGAATTTTCTTCAGAAGACTAGAAAAGAGAAAACCTGGTGCCCGTCTCTTAAAAAGTGGAAAAGGAGGAGACCACTAAGCCTGGCTTCAGCATTTGGGTAACTATTGGAATCACCCACTGAAGAATCTGTTTGCAAGCACCCAGAAGACAATGCAGGGGTAAGTAACAATGTGCACAGATTCATCTAAGAATGATTAAAATAGAAGTAATTCGACTTTCTGCTGTGAAAAGTAGACAGCAGTCAGGGACAGAGTGAAGGAGGGGGAAAGAAGGTTTCAAACACTATCTCTAAGAAATTCTCGTAAGCAGACAAAGGAAACATGATAGATATGAAACTTCCATATACTTAATGACTATCAACTGAGATATAATTAGTGTCTACCATACAGGAAAGATGTGTTTGGTACAATTCAGTATCTCGCAGGTTGGATATCATCAGTATTAGTAATTTGGACAATGGAGTAAAGATGGTGCTTCGGAAATGACTGCAAGGTTATTTGTCAATGAAAATGCATCTTGAATAATTTTGAGCAAACATATTACTGAGTGCGGACTGTTTGCAAAGAGTTCCCTTGAATATCTCAAGATGAGAAATTTAAATTTGAAGAGGTTAAAATGATGAAAAATGTCGAGTTTTTGAGAATGAGGCACTCTGTTAGAGTACTGGAAATTACCAGTTTAGAGACTGGCTAACGTTTTCTTAACATGAACAATTTGCAGGGGTAATACTGTACGTTATTTGGTACTAATGAGTTTTAAAGAAAAAGTATTCAGTGAAGACAGAAACCTGATAAAAGTAGAATCTAAACTTGGACTTTTATGAGACATCACAAGCAATTTTCTGATACATTTAAAATACAAAGTGCTGGATTAACAGGTGTCACACATCTAAAATACTTCATGTCATCTGATTTTTTCCCCAGCTGAAAGGATGTTCTTGGTCACAGAAGACACACAACACACAACAGGACAGCACTCCTACTTCCTCTATTTCCTATTACCTGTCCTGCCCTCAGGTGACAGCAGCATCTGCCTATAATAACCCCTTGAACACATGGCCTCAGTGCATCTCCACATTTAGTGGAATTATCTCACCTCTCATGTACCACAATCACATGGTTTTCTAAGCAGCTGCCACATGCTTCTCACTCAAAGGGATTGACTCAATCTCAGATTGACTAATAAATCAAAGTTTTCTTTTTGTTCTCCTTTCACTGATAACAATAGGATTTCTCTTTGCTATTTCCCAAGTTCACAAAGCTGCACCAGTCCAACTCATGTGGCTCTGTCCAGCTGTCTGGAAACTGCAATTGGATCTGCCCCTGACCAGCAGCATGTCATGCTTTCTCCTATAGTGCGGTCACTGAAGGAAAAGCTGCCAAGGAGATGTCTCAGTGAATTTGTGCATCCTTCTAGTAGCCTGCATCCAGCCTGTTTGTGGTCCTCATTAGCTTTCTTGCAACCATTTGCTCACCTACTTAATAGCCCCTGTTCTGACATCCGGTTTTCCTAGTGCTTCACTAGCATGCTAGTGAAACTAGTGTGCTTCACTGAAATGCAAGTGCCTTCAATCTTCAGCCTTACCCTTATCTGAAAAAGCAGACACTTCAAAGAAGATAATGGTCTGACAGAAGGTGTCAAACCATTATTGAACAGTTTTCCTTAAAAATCTCTAAGAAGATTTTACTCAACACTTACAGAATTGCTTTAATCACATTTGATTAATTCTTTACAGTGAGGGTGCTGAGGCACTGGCACAGGGTGCCCAGAGAAGTTCTGGCTGCCCCATAACTGGCAGCGTTCAACGCCAGCTTGGACGGGGCTTGGAGCAACCTGCTCTAGCGAAAGGTGTCCCTGGCTGTGGCAGGGGTTGGGACTGGATGAGCTTTAAGGCCCTTTCAACCCAAACCATTCTGTGATTCTATGCCATACTTTCTTTCAACAGATAAACTAGATTAATCCTTTTCTAGATCCACTAATAACATATACACTTCATAACAATTAATAGGTTGGGCCTTCAAGCTTTATGTGCCTCTTCTTTTCATAGTCTGAGCTAGAAATAAACTGTTTTCACTCATATGAACATGTTAAGCTCTGAGTTCCTTCTCTGTTCAGATACAGTTATTTCCATTTTCACTCACAATTCCTCTAAGTCAACACACCTCTGACCTCCAGCACAATATCAGCATCCCTCTGAAAAGCAGAGGTATAAGATTTGGCAAAACCCAAGCCCATTTTCTCAGTTAATATTTAGCAGATCTACTTGTTCTCCATGTTTCTCTCTTCTTATTTTATATTTTATTTTAGCCATCTAAACAAATTGTTTCTTCAGCAAAGTTCAGCTCCATTTGGTAGTGCTCATGAATGACCTGTCACTTTTTGTCCTCCAAAGCAGAGATTCCCCTCTTGATCTGATTCTTCTTAAAATGTCTTAACTTACTCATAAAATATCTTTTGAATTATTTGTTTAGCTGAGTTGGACTGGGAATTTTATCTACCAATATCTTCTCCTTCATTAGGATTTTTTGTGATTTTGATTAAAGGACGTTCTCAAAAAGCACTTTTAAGGCATAGTTTGTTAGAGCATACATACATTTTTAAGACCGGTGGTAACACTTATTCCCTACGAATCATACTTTTTTAAAGAACGATATTATGAAGATCATAGAATAGTTAGGGTTGGAAAGGACCATAAGATCATCTAGTTCCAACCACTATTTGCTAATCTTTGCCAGATTATCTAAAATAACCAGTTAAAGTACTTGCAAATCCAAAACTTATCTAATGCTTGAAGTTAAGCACAAGCTAGAAAACATGTTTACTCAGTTTATATCTACATAAAATATCAATCTTCTTAAGCTTACCTTCTAAAAAACTGCATCAGATAGAAGCACTATATGAAATTATAATACCCATATAAATGCAGGTGTAGTAAAAAGACATCAGCAAGAACTACTGATACATAGGGAATCATGGATATAAGAATAAAAACCTAGCTATTAGTTTGACCCACCTTAATATGGAACAATAATTTCATGAGGAAAAGGAACAGAAGTGTTATAGAAGTTTCAACAGATTTACAAGTTACTAGAGATGGCAAGTACACTTCAGAGTTTTGAAAACGTATGTTTGAATAAGTCAGTCTCTTCAATATCTGAATGGGATTAATTTAAAGGGTGTGATAGTCAGTGGATGCTGACTACCTGGTGTCGAGAATCAGTCTCCTTTATAACAGATCAAGCACTCAAATTAGAAATAGAAAGCTCTGTGCTTGAAATAAGGATTTGCTTTCAGTAATCACCAAAGACAAGCATCTAGCTCAAAACCAAAAAATCCCAGAGCTGTGTTTGAAAAGTATCTCACACTGATATATCAAGGCTTTCACTGAGAGCCTTACACATTTCCAACCTGTTTTCTCTGTCATTTTAGGGGAGAAACGTCCAACAGCAGCGGGGAATGCAACTTTGCAGACATCGACAGATTAGCAAAGACCCTGCTGCTGGGGATCTCCATCCCTACCTTCATTCTCGGGCTGGTTCTCAATGCCATGGCTCTATCGGTGTTCTGCTGTTTTTGGAAGAAGCAAACCAAAACTTCAGTGTACATGATCAATCTCGCACTTGCAGATGTCTTGCTGCTTCTCTCGCTCCCACTCAAGCTGTACTACTCTATCAAGAAAGCACCCAGACTCCTGTGCTCATTCATAGAGTCTCTGTATTTTGTCAACATGTATGGTAGTATCTTCATCATCGTCTGCATTACCATCGACAGATATATCTGCATAAGGCACCCATTTGAAGGTCGAGCTAACCAATCCCCCAAATGGGCTATCTTGATTTGCTGCTTCATCTGGGCAGTAGCCTGGCTTTGCAGCACCCCAATGTATGTGTTTCACGAGGAAGATAATTTTAAGTGCTTTCACAACATGTCAGAACAGGCGTGGAGCACCCCCCTCATTGTTTCTGTAGAAATCTTTGGATTTCTGATCCCACTTGCAGTGATTGTTTTCTGCTCTGCCCAAAACATCTGGATTCTTCTGAATTACAAAAGTCAAGCTAAAAAGAAGGTAGAAAGCAATGGCTCCTTACGAGTCATTATCATCAACCTGGTGGTGTTTTTGGTGTGCTTCACACCTGTCCACCTTGCAATCTGCCTGCAGTACCTGGTAAGACAGCATGTGATAGTGGACTGCAGTCTGAAACAAACCATCAGCTTCTTCATTCAGGTGTCAATGATAATAGCCAACCTCAACTGCTGCCTGGACGCCATCTTTTATTACCTTGCTGCAAAGGAATTCCGTGAGAAGACACACCTGAAAAAGATGATTGAACTGTGTCCTGTTTTTAAGCCTTGTGCCACATGATGAGACTGCCAGCAGTAGGAGAGCACCTCTTCCTTGGCTCTGGCTTGCCTCACAGGATGCCAACAGCAATAGCAGTAGGGTCACCTTGGCCACGGCAGGGAGGGTGCAGGAGAAAGACAATGATTTTCTGATGAATGTGAACCTGTTCCATATTTTTCTTCTCTTTAAAGTTAAAAAGGGAAAAATGTTGGAAAAAAGAAACAGCATTAGCAAAGTGACAGAGTGACACCAAAAGAAGCATTAACCTTGACGGTATCTACTAAATGTGAAAGGCTTGACAGAAGAAAACTACCCAGATCACTGCAGTGCCACTGAAAATCAGCCTTTGTCATTGCTGCACCAGTTTTCTTTTTGGCAATGGGATCAAAAAGTTGTTGCTAAGGGCCAGATAGGGAAATAAGTATTAGAAGGTGTCTGAGAGTTGAATAGCAGTACCCAGACAAAAGTCTGACTCTGCTCTTCCCTTCTGTAAATCTTCCAGAAGGTCACTGTTGGAGCTCATTTGCTCTGAACAGCTTGGCCAGCCTGAGGTAACAGTGAATCCTCTCTCCTGTAAGCATTATACACTGGCTGGGGCTGCTACACGGGGCAGCAGCCTCTGCTCTTTCATGGAGGATGGGCTGCCCAATATACAACCCCAAGAGAATGTCTTGGTACTGCAATTACTTGAGCAACAAACATTTCTGAATATCTTTGCTGAGGAGTCAGTGTGGTTTTCTGCTGCAATTTTTAATCTGTTTTTGCATATGAAAACCAAAAGAACCCCTTCAAATATGTCATTTAGTGAAAGAGTGT